TTTCATACACGACATAGTCGTGAGATGCAAGAAACATAGACATATGGCAAGAAATCTGTAGACGCGCCCATAACAACAAAAGACAATACTTTATTGAACCTTTTCTGATAAGAAGTGTGCGCTGCAAACGCGAGCATTTTTGTCTATCGTTTCTGTCCAGTCTGCTCGTGTTAATCGTGTTTAACCACAGCTGTCGTCGGTTTTTTGTCTGGCAGTGGCAGCAGATATGCGATCAAATTTCTAATTTAAGGCTGTATTACGTCGATTCTGGCACCCAACATCACAACAGGATGATATTTTAAGCTCCTTATGTAGCCGAATCTGCGCTGGTTTGAATCGGCCGCCTCCAGTTTCCCCTTTGTTTTGCTGCCTCCAGCTAGCGCTGTGACGTCGCTGACCCTAGTTACCTGTGGTCGGCCTGGCCATGCCTCACTCAGAACACAACAGGCCAATCAGAAGAGAGGCTCATGAATATTAATTAGACAGACCAAAATCGACCTGTTCTCAGCAGAGCTCCTGAGAGAGGAGCTGTAAAAATATATTGAGATGGTTTTTGGTACTTATACCACAAATATATATTCTTAAGGACATCAAAACCTAAAACAAAACTCCAGAAAGGTGTAAAATATGTGACCTTTAAAATAGAAAGAAATAAAATTTTATTAAAAATCTAATGTATTAAAAAAACTCACATGATGACACATAATGACATAAAGCTTCTGTCAGATCATGATAAATCATAACGTTTTTAAATTTTATGACATTTCTGGTCTTCAACCCATCATTCTGCATCATCTCATCATAAGCAAAAAGAAACATCTGTTGAAAAGCTCAGTGGGATGCTCATAACAAAATATGATGCATTGAAAATATGAATATGATGAAAATATTTTTTAAGCTTTTGAGAAAAAGCAGAATTATTTTGATTTGAACTCTTTGTAAATGCATTACAAAGGAGAAGTTAGAAGTCTGAGTTGGGGACAATCCTAAAATACAGAGGGTTCTGGAAAATGTAACATTTCAACACACTTGAAATTAGGAACAGACAATTATCGGTTTCAGTTTTTATTAACGTATACATTGACCAGGAATGGTTGTTTATTTTTCTTTCAGCTCATCTTAGCAGACAGAAACATTCACATAGTTTGATCAGTTTGAATGTTTTCTGAAAGCGTCAGATAAATGACTGAAATCGTGTTTGTGTGTGTTTGTTGTAGAGGGTCTGAAGCAGTTTGGACTCACTATAAACACACCGTTTAAAGGCTGCATGAGAAATGTGAAGATCACTGAAACTGGGAAGACACTGGAGGTCCAGATGAACAAAGTCCTGGAGCTCAAAGGAGTTCAACCTCTCACCTGCCCTGCTAGTTAAACACCGCACACTCACGCACACACACTCACTCACACGCGCACACACTCACTCACACGCGCACACACACGCGCGCGCGCTCACACACGCTCACGCACGCACACACACACACTCACCTGATTCATTGAACTGCTACTCAGAGTGAATCAGTTCATGAATCAAAATCAGAAATATTCAGAGAACTAACTGAAGTACTAGCTGTGCTGCTCATAACCAAATAACACAAGGAATATTAATAAACAAACAGCTAGACAAACCAAAGGTTACAGACAAACCAAGCCAAATGAAAAACAGATCAAAAACTGCTTTAAAATAAAATTACTACAGCCATAGGATACAATTTTTATAATAACTTTTGGTAACACTTTACAATAAGGACCCGTTAGTTAACATTAGTTTAGGCATTAACTAACATGAATGAACAATGAGAAATCCGTTACAATATGTAATTATCTGTGTTGTTAGGCAATAAAAATACAACTGTTCAGTGTTAGTTCATGTTTGGTCTGGTCCATTAAAAAGAACAGAAACAACTTTTTATTTTAATAATGTATTATTAAATATTGAAATTAATAATAACTAGAATTAACAAATACTTTAGAGTATGTTTCAATGTTAGTTCATGCTAACTAATGTAGTTAACCAATGTAAACAGATGAAACTTCATTGTAAGGTGTTACCAACATTTTATGCTGTAGTTTGTTATCAATCTGTCTATGTATTTTTGTGTTAAAGGACCTAAAACCAAAAAAAAAAAAAAAACTGATCTGAACAAACAGTAGTAATAGAACTACATCTTACACAGCCAAAAGCATCCTAACAAAACCACTGAAGAGTGAATGACCCGAGGAATCAGGGTTCTGTCGTTCAGAAAGACACATTTATACACCAGTAAGACATGTATTTCTGCTGAGACATTTCAAATGTTGGCCATATCAAACAGGTCTAAACGGGCAACACTCCTAGACCCTAGTATATTCATCATAACATCATCAACAGACTTCATAATCATTTAACACGATATCATGCTTAATTACATGGAGAGAATTGGACGTACGTTGTCACTCTTCAAAGTGTGACTACATTTGACACCTGATACAGTACGTCAAGAAATATTGGGGGGAAAAAACATGTTTGTGACTTCCTCTAATACTTTAATAAACTCTAATACTCTAATAAACTGTAATAAGAAAGGCAACAATGACATAAAAATTAAGGAATACAACCGGTTCACAATGAATTGCCAAAAAACAGCACAGACATGCTGTATTAAATTAAAAGTCAGATGTAGGAAAGTTTAACAGATCAAACTGTCAGATTTCAGTGTGAATCTGGTGTAAATGTAGCCTAAATTATCAAACTACACTTCAGGTCAGCTGAGTATATGAGAAACATACTTTGTCTGAGAGCCAAAGAAATCATAAGACAGACATGAACTACAAATTCATGGAAAGAGGCCTTGTGTCGAGGGCTGAGACACTTTTCTCTGAGGTCTCAGTGTGTGTGTGATTACATGTACTGTGTAATGATCAGTATTTCAAAATAAAGAAATATCCCCTCTGATGGCACTTGATGTGATCTGCTGTTTCCTTTCAGTGTCAAAATAACCATCAAAGTTACTGAAATAGCTCTCCTCCAGAGGGTCATTAATATTTACACTTTTCCATTTTAGCTAGTGTATCATGGTTTATTAAAATATTTAAAAAATCATGAAAAAATGTGCTGGTTTGTATGACAGGTTAGGCTGAGTGCAGCATTTGATACAATAGATCACTGTCAAATACTTCTTATTAGTGTTTTAAACAGTTTAAGGTCTTTCTGAAAGGCTGTTTCTGGAAACATGATTTATCACATGGTGTTCCACAAGGTTCGGTTCTCAGGCCGCTTTTATTCTCACGCATCATAAAATGAATGATAATTTTCGTAAACACCACACAGTCTGATGGGCCTAAAGATAGAGATTAAACATCTGTCCATGATTTTACTCTGGAAAATTAAGGAATTAAGATGAATAGAATTTTCTGTCTTCCTATAAATCTTCACACTTTACACTTATAGAAAATTGAGAGATTTGTACATCACGTATGTACTACACAAATGACAAAAAAAAAACGCTTTTATTCATAAAAATCAGTTAACTGAGGGTGGAATCTTGTCCAAAAAACTGAAAGCAGAACTATAAAAGCGCACTGGTTTCTTTGCTCAACACAGAGTCTGGGATTACAACAGTGGAAAAAATAAGGAAGTACACTTTCAACAGGGTACAAATGTTGATGACCTTTTAACTCATAGCAGAGGACAGCAGAAGAGAACAAGTCATGCTCATCAGAAGTATGCTGCATATAGTCATCCGTGATGGGATGATCCTGCTGAGAAACTGTCAGAAATGCTCTACAGTGTGGAGAGCCACTCACCACTGCTCGGCTTTAGTTTACAGAGAACACACAAATAACATTGATACTGTGAGGTATGGACATAGAGTGCTTTTATACTTATATTTGTTCATACAAGTGGATTACGTTATAATAAGTAGTCTTTATTATAATGTAAATGTGACTAATTTGTGATCAAATTAAATATGATTTGTGTTCTTCCTCTTTTATATATATATACAGTGGTGTGAAAAAGTGTTGGCCCCCTTTGATGCTCATTGACTATTCCATTTGTCTTCAGGATGGAGCAGCTGCTGCTGCCTCCAGTGGGTGATCGTTCTGTGAGGGTCCACATGCTTGCAGCACTTGTCAATCCTGCAGACATGAATATGATCCAGGGTAAAGTCACCACTCATACAGCTTCATGCCTGTTTACATCCTTTCAGTCTAGGGATGGTTAAATCTGATGTTATTTTATAGAAATTTCTATTCTAGTCTATGAAGTGATGGAGGCTGAACATGGAGAACTGACTGTAGCAAATCATTGGTCTTGTCTCCATAGGTTCGTATCCGATCTTGTGCTCCCTCCCAGCGGTGGGAGGGAATGAGGGGGTGGGAGAAGTGATAGAGGTGGGCAGTGATGTCATATCTCTCAGACCAGGTGATTGGGTCGTGCCCATTGATGCTGGCTTTGGTAAGGAGATATTCAGTGTTTCAGGATTTAAAAAAAACATCAAAACCTCAAAGTCAACATGGAATTCCATTCCAAAATGGGTGTATTGCAATGAAATCCAAAAATATATAAGGTGGTGGGTCTTGATTGTAAGGACTGAAATTTGATGACAGGTGGTTGATAAGCAAGCATTCTTGGTGGCATAAGTCCCAAAGGAAAGTCCTTTCAGAGGAGCAACAAGATATTAATTTCTTGTAAAAGATTGCAAATAAAAAAAAGTGACAACACTGAATAAAGATTCAGACTAAAGTGCAATTAATTAAAAAGACCAACAGGACATTTCATCCTATAGCCTGGAGCACTGAAGAAACATCTTTGGTTATGAATTTATCAGAATCAGAATCAGAAGAGCTTTATTACCAAGTATGTTTACACACGCAAGGGATTTGACTTGACGACAGGAGCTTCCAGTGTAGAAGAAAGTACAAACATAGTGCAGACATACATGATCGTGCAGACATACATAGGAATAACACAGTAGGGATGTAATATAACACTATGGCTTCACTCAGCCAGGTTTCAGTGAAGCACAGTGCAGCAGAGTTTGAAAAGTCCTTGTTGGTGCGGGTGAGGAGAAGAAGTTCATCCGTTTTGTTAGGAAGGGAACGGACATTCGCAAGATGAATGCTTGGGAGCGCAGTCCGAAAGCTGCGCGCGCGGAGCTTCACCAGGGCGCCGGCGCGTTTCCCTCTTCTGCGTCTGCACGTGCGTTTGAACAACATAGCTGTACCTCCGACTAGAATGTCCAACAAAACGTCCGAAATAAACAAAAACCGGAAAAATATTGTCTGGGATGTGCTGCTTAATGTTAAGGAGTTCGGCTCTGGTAAAACTTATAGAAGAAGAATGACAAAACACAGAACAAACAAACAAAAACAATAGAAGAATCGCGGAGCTCAGCGTCCTGGCTGCCATTTGCGGCGCCATCCTCAGTTCCCCAAGATATACTAGGGAATGAGACACAGCATCAGAAGCTGGCACTATGGGGGGAAACTTTCTCTTGATCAATTACCCTTTTGAATCACACCTATGCAGGCATTCACACCTGACATTTTTGTATAAATATAAGCGGCTGCTGAATGCCATTACCTTCATTACCAAGCACGTGGGCAGTCGTGGCCTAATTGTTAGAGAGTCGAACTTGTAACCCGAAGGTTGCGGCAGGGATTGTTGGTGGGGGAACTGAATAACCAGTGCTCTCTTCCACCCTCAATACCACGACTGAGGTGAGACCCTTGAGCAAGGCACCGAACCCCCAACTGCTCCCCGGGCGCCGCAACAATATGGCTGCCCAATGCTCCGGGTGTGTGTTCATGGTGTGTGAGTGTGTGTTCACTACTGTGTGTGTGCACTTGGATGGGTTTAATGCAGAGCACAAATTCCAAGTATGGGTCACCATACTTGGCCTCACTTCACTTCAAATTTTTTTGTGTGACAGAGCAACAGGCTCGTTCTGAAGTTCAAGCACAGTAATGTGGCAAGCTACGCAATGTCTCATTCCCTGTATCTCAGGGAAATTAGGTTACATACGTGACCAGAGATATTCATGTTTCAGTTACGGTTCACTCAACATTGTGTACATAGCTGACGTTATGGGAAACCAGTGCTCTCTTCCACCCTCAATACCACGACTGAGGTGAGACCCTTGAGCAAGGCACCGAACCCCCAACTGCTCCCCGGGCGCCGCAACAATATGGCTGCCCAATGCTCCGGGTGTGTGTTCATGGTGTGTGAGTGTGTGTTCACTACTGTGTGTGTGCACTTGGATGGGTTTAATGCAGAGCACAAATTCCAAGTATGGGTCACCATACTTGGCCTCACTTCACTTCAAATTTTTTTGTGTGACAGAGCAACAGGCTCGTTCTGAAGTTCAAGCACAGTAATGTGGCAAGCTACGCAATGTCTCATTCCCTGTATCTCAGGGAAATTAGGTTACATACGTGACCAGAGATGTTCATGTTTCAGTTACGGTTCACTCAACATTGTGTACATAGCTGACGTTATGGGAAACAGTCAAATCATACCACATTACTGACACTAAACTTGAACCAGCCCCTGTGGGTGAGGTATGGAAAATAACACTAAGCAGCGGGATGTTCACGATGGCATTGCCAGCGTACACCAACACATACATGATATACAGTAATATGGTAGTATACCATGGTATGAACCGGGGAGGGAGGCTGCACAAGCACTTCACGACAGGGGTTGGGAAGATGACACTGCAATGGCCAGTGCTGACACAGGCTTAACTCTCTTGCACAGAAGGCACTTTGGAAACCTGAGAGGAAACATTGAAGTTATGTTGAAGTTATGTTAAGTCATTTGGTGAGAACCAGCCAGGCATATGTCCTTAATAAACGGACACACCATTTGACCATGCCCAGGAGGACGCCATGCCTCCCAAGATATGGGCTTTACCTCGACTGGACATTGCTGACCTTGTGAGCTACAAGTCAGGGAAATTGCATCTATAATTTCCCCTAGTGTGGCCCTGTAAACAGACAAAGATCTGCTCCAAGAGTCTGAACTGGTGGGACTGTCCACAACAATACACAATGCTTGCACCTGACACAGCATGTTAAGAAACTGCTCCTACTCTGAGCCTAAATGTTGTGGGGAGGCCTCACAAAGACTAACCTAACCTTAAGGTCTCTGTGGAGCCAAACAGGTCCATGTTCACTTTGGCGAAAATATTCCATATCCTCAACACTGTCTGAGGATCCAGTCTCCATTCTCCTGGTATCAGGCCTTGGCGTGCTAGGAGGTCTGAGCTGCAATTCAACCATCTTACAAGGTGAGGAGGTGTTGATGGGTCCAAAAGAGCATGCACTGCACTACTTCCATCATGAAAAGAATGCAGGCATGGTTGTATAAGGCCCTGCTACCCCATACTCTCGTAAGCCTTCTTACAGTCCACAAAACACATGTAGACTGGATAAGTGGACACCCATTCCCCCTCAAGGATTCTTGCTATAGGGGAAAAAGTTGGGTCAGTTTTTAGTCTACAGTCGGCATTGTTCCTGCGATGACTGGACGTATTCTGCTTTCCAGCACTCTAGGCTTTACCTTATGTAAAGTGTGATCCCTCAATATTTGGAACACATCCGCTTGGCCCCCTTTTTCAAAAATGGGAACCATCGCACTCATATGCCAATTGCCAGACACTTTCCCTGATTCCTGTGTGATGTTGAGCAGGGGTGTCAACCAAGGCAGCCCAACTACATTCAGCATCTCAGGGTAAGTTCTCCAACCCTGTCTCTTCTTATGAGGGCATGTTCTCCAGGTTCAGAAGAACCTCAAAGTTTTCCTTTCAACTCCAAAGTCAGGGCAGTGCCATTTTTATTTTTGACAGGAATGAAAACGAGGCTGTGAACAACTGAAATACAGTATGCTCAATGGATTGTACTGTTGTTTAACATCACACCAATAGTTCAACTTACGAAATGTTAAAACCGTTTTAAGTTGTGAAAATTACATGATCTAGGATCTTTTTACATTGCATGCCATTGTTAAGACTGTAAGTCTATTCCTCACAGCCTCGTTATAACTACGTTAAATTCAATATGGCGTCTAACCTGTCACGGGTTAACCAGTCTTGAAAGGCCTTTCAGGAACACTGTAAATAGGTAAAGACCAAAAACTGTAACGATTCTCCTTCTCTACACTGCACAGTATTACCGACAATCAGATCAGTGAATACAATTCAGTGGACGGAGATGAGGAATTACACATTTATTTACAAAAACATTTAGTGGTTATTTTCAGAAGCAATAAAACTGGCAGCAACAGTCATTTTCGCCATATTCACAGTTTCCAGCATAATAAAAGCATTACATCAGCAAAAGACATAGCAGTAAAAAATAAAAATCACAGCTCAAAACTACTCATTGAAATGACATCTGCAACATTGTAAATAACAGACAAGGTCAGTTTAAGTGCCAAGTGTTTCCCTCCATTGAAGTACTTTATGAGGTCTGTGTTTAGCTGAGAAACTTGATTCCTGTTGTTTTCAGTCATGAATCCTTTACGGATATACAATATCATCTGACTTACATTATTTTCTCCAACATGAAAAAAAAGTACATCCAAGATCCCTGGGAGCGACTGAATAAGTAATAGAGCGCAGTGAACTTTTATTGGCAGTGTGAGCTACTGTAAGACTGAAGTCATGTGACTGATTTAAAGCAGAGATTGCTACAATACTAAGAGATCACTCGCATGTAATCAAATGTTTAAGGAAGAAACGTGTGAAATATAGGTGTACCTCAGTACTTCACTTGTCTGAGACAATATTTTCATGCAATACACAATCTATATATGAATGAGATTTGTGGCTGGGTGCGTCTCATTAAACCTATAAAGAACATGTCTGGGTCATATTTTACCCTAAAGAAAAATTAATTTAGTTAATTAAGTGTTTATATATACATATATATATATATATATATATATATAAATAAATTACACAAACACATTTTGTTTTAAACTGATTATTATTTGCATTGTAACATTGTTTTCATGATAATTAAGCATATTCCCATGTCCTCCTTACCTTAATAAAAACACTGCTGACTGCAATGATAAAAACACAATATATTGAATATATATATTCACTCCTTCAACAGTATTGAGAATGTGATGAGAATGATTTACCAGAGAAAAAGAAAAAAAAATCCAGATGAGTTTTTTTGAGTGTCACAGTAATAATAATTAGGAGTGTAAATGTTTAATTATGATGAAAATGTTACAATGCAAAAGTTAAAAACAAGCTACAAAATACAGTTTGTTCTTTTTTTCTTCTAGGATGAAACATGACCTGGAGATTTTCTAGAAAACCTGGTAAATTAGTCTCTGATTTTTGTACTATCAAACAACCTATTCTTCACAAGCGATTAAAATGTGCCAAAGTGCCAAACCAGACTAAATGAGCACAGACACTATGAGCTTTTTTGGCTTTTACTATAAAGGATGTGCATACAACTGCTACCCAAGCATCTCCTGAAAACCATATCGGTGTAGGTTATAGTGTTGGAGGTGTACGCTTCGGCAGAGGACGGGATGAATGTGAAATATATTATATACTGAACCCTGCTGCCTTCCCTTTAATGGTCTGTTTGCGGTGGACTGTAAGGTGCGTGGCGGGATGGGATGATTGGCATGGCTCGGTCAGTGCTGGACGGATTTTATGACCCACTCTGCACTGGGGTTGAGCTCCAGAAGAGCTTTGATGTACGTCTCTTCATCCAGACATCTCTCCTCTAGACAAACACACCAACACACACACATCAGACAACAGCATATACTGCGTGTGCTAGAGCGATGCTTCTGCACCGGACTCAAAAATCTTCTGAAGAAGTTAAGATACATTCTAATAAGATGTTATCTGATTGTATGGCAGGTCTTGAGGACCTCCTAATTAAACTCCTAATTTGCTGCTTATTAATAGTTAGTAAGGTAGTTGTTAATTTTAGGTATTGGGCAGGATTAGAGATATGCTCATGCAGAATATGTGCTTTATAAAGTACTAATAAACAGCCAATATGTTAATAATAGGCATGCTAATAAGCAACTAGTTAATAATGAGAATTGGTCCCTGTACTAAAGTGTTCCCAACATCTCTAATATTGTTAAATTAGAAAACAGATGCAAAGAAGAATTTAATTCTCAAGAATGTTTGATAAATCCGGCTGCTGGTTTTACACTGAACATCACGTGGCATTTTCTAGCACTGTTTATGGCACAAAAATGCCTATAAAATCAAACTGAAATGTATTAATATTACCGTGAGCTGCAGAGATCACAAATAAAGTTGAAGATCTATTTATTTTCCTATCCTAACTATACATGGTTTGTATGGTTAGTTACGTGTTATGAAAATTGTGTGGCTGTGTGACTGTAATTAATGTGATGCTTATAAGCCACTCACTGATGTTTCCTCCCATCTCATAGAGACACAGATCCTCTCGTTTCACAGACAGAGTCCTGTAACAACACAACACGCCACACAACTCAATCTCACTGAGCATTTCACAAGCACCGCTAGAAAATATAATAGTTTTCCTAAAACAATAGACTACAATTGTGGATGTACAGTATATACATTAGAGCCCGAGAGTCACTAGTGGTCTCACTGAAGATGTGCTTATTAAAGCTGATTGATCATTAGTGCGTGTGTTTGCTCACCTCTCTTGACTGAGGAAGCGTGTCAGAACATCTGAGGCCTTTAAATCCTCCGTCAGCTGTACAGCCATGGACACCATCGAGAACTGAGGAGCCTGGACCCTTATGAAGCCTCCTTCAGCCTGAACACACGCACCAAACACACCATAAACACACACCGAACACTAGGCCTGCAGATGAAACTTTGTTTGTAGAAGCATTTTTTAAATTTGAACTAGCACCACATAACTACACCACGTTATGTACGAGAAGCTGCAAAAGACACAGGCGCAAGTGGAATGAAAAAAACACGGTGACATTAATTTTTTAAGTAAATATAATGGGCGATATATTGCGTCACCAAAAATTTGGTGGTCATGTACATATATTGCGCGATAAGTCGATATATTGATTATTGCGGCAGGCCTACTCTTAACACACGCACACACACCGAACACACCATAAACACACACCGAACACACCATAAACACACCGAACACACCATAAACACACCGAACACACCATAAACACACCGAACACACCATAACACACGCACACACACCATAAACACACACCGAACACACCATAAAAACACACACACACACACACACACACCAAACACACCATAAGCACACGCACCGAACACACCATAAGCACACACCATAAACACCGAAGTAAAGCTGAGCTGCTTCAGTCCAGTAAGTGTTCATCTGGAAATATTACTGCAGTTATTCTGACGTTTACTTGATAAAAATCAGTCAAGATTTGACAGCAGAAAGACACTGGAGCAGCAGCTGAAGCTGGACGTTTCTACAATTTACTAAAATGCCTTCTAACTTAATAAAATCAATCAGACGACAGAAGGCATGGAGTAGATTGTGTGAAACATGCTGATCATTTAGAGGCCTTATTTAAAATAACAATCAAATATGAAACAGTAGTTTTATAGGGTTAACATATCAAATCAAGTGTCTGTATCTAAGGATCTTGAGAGCCTTGTATCTTATATTTCAGCATGTCCATGCATTTCTGTCACACTCACAGCAGATGAAGGACAGTCACTGCATGCAGTTGCTCAGTGTGTCCACTAGGTGTCAGAGTGGAGGCTGCTCACATTCTCAAACTCTGATTCATTCAAAAACACTGACACACAACTGTGAAGGCGTCTGAGATGTCTGATTATATCTCCTTCGGTTCAGTGTACTGCTCTGTGTTTGTGTAGCTCCTCTCACCTCAGCGTTGCTCTCTTGTTTGTTAGAGGCTCTCTCGCGGTCGTACGCCATCTTCTTCAGTAGTTTTTTAACCGCTCTGTCTCTGTTCATCTTCCGCTGGTTCTCCATGTTTTGTTTGCGCACCTGATTCAGGATGAACTTGGGAATCTGAGACACAAGAAAAGACTCATCTGAGCATCTCCATCTTCACGTACGATGTGTTCTGGTATTCGAGCAACAGAACATTTTGTTGGTCACTATTTATTATTTGGTCACTATTTTTGTTGGTCACTATTTCTACAGCATCACAGTAGAAAAGTAGTGATTTCACAGAAAATTAATTGAAGTATTCAAGAAATTAATGATTTTATTAATCAAGGACACACTGAATTGATCAAAAGTGACAGTGAAGACATTTACAAAAGATTTATATTTCAAATAAAAGCTGTTCTTTTAAACTTCCTATTCATCTGTGAATCCTGAAAAATAACAAGCATCACAGTTTCCACAAAAATATTGGGCATCACAACTGTTTTCAACATTGATAATAATCAGAAATGTTTCTCAAGCAGCAAATCAGCATATTAGAATGATTTCTGAAGATCATGTGACACTGAAGACTGGAGTAATGATGCTGAAAATACAGCTTTGATCACAGAAATAAATTACATTTGAACATAGATTCACATAGAAAACAGCGGTTTTAAATTAAAATATTTCACAATATTTATTGTATTTTTGATCAAATAAATGCAGCCAATTCCAAACGTTTAAACTGCAGAGTATTGCAACTATTTGTTTATCTGTAGTGAATCTTCAGATATGATATTCAGTTATAATTAGGGATGTAACGATGCACTGCGAGCCGGTTGAAAATCAATTCAAATCGGTTGAGATGTTAAATGAATGGCCATACAATTAGGGTGGGAGTTTATATGAATGTATCTCTGAGGGGAACTGACTGTCTTCAGGAAAGTTCAGATGGTATTTTCTTTTCATCTCGCCTCTGTATAATGCATATTAAAGTAGTGTTCATAACTGCAGCGCTGCTGTAACAGTAGCAACCAAGGAAACGCTGTATCGCTGCTGTTCAGGGTTGCCAGGTGTTCGCAACAAAACCCACCCAATTGCTGCTTAAAACTAGACCAAAACTATCCCCAATCACGTTTCGAGGGGGTCCACCAGTAAAAATCGCGTTCCGGGGGGTAAACTACACATTTTTTGGGAGGGGTTTCCCTGGTAAAATTTGCATTCCATGGGCTAAATATCACGTTATTGAGGAAAAACATGGAAAACCAACCAGCAGCAACAGTAGCCCAATTCTGTGGACTTGTCAACACTGCTGCTGCTCCATAAGCGCCACCTGCTGGCAGAGAGTGAATTTGCGTCTCGTCTGCTGTTTTTTCGTTCCATTCAGATGTTTTAAGTAGTATGGTTTCACAAAACTAAAGTCAGACCATTCTGTTTTTGCTTCAAATTTTGAAATTATACAATGCAATTTAGATTAAAAACTGCTTATGCTGCATGTATGCAGTATCTTTGTTAGGATCATGATTAAAATGCAGTGGCTACCTCTAATTTTAAATGGAAAGAGCACAGACAAAGCCTTAGTTTGTTTATATTGAGATTTCTTTCATTTGATTTGGGGTTTGTTTTAAAATTACAATTTGTGACCCTGGAGCACAAAACCAGTCATAAGGGTCAATTTTTCGAAATTGAGATTTATACACCATCTGAAAGCTGAATAAATAAGCTTTCCATTGACAATATTTGGCTGAGATACAACTATTTGAAAATCTGGAATCTGAGGGTGCAAAAAAATCTAAATATTGAGAAAATCATCTTTAAAGTTGTCCAAATGAAGTTCTTAGCAATGCATATTACTAATCAAAAATTAAGTTTTGATATATTTACGGTAGGAAATTTACAAAATATCTTCATGGAACATGATCTTTACTTAATATCCTAATGATTTTTAGCATAAAAGAAAAATAAATAATTTTTACCCATACAGTGTATTGTTGGCTATTGCTACAAATATACCCCAGCGACTTAAGACTGCTTTTGTGCTCCAGGCTCACACATAGTTTTTTGTTAGTTGACATATTTCAATTACACAAAGAAATGTTTAGCATTTTGTCTGAGAAATAATAAAAGGACACTTTTCATTTCTATTTAGTCTTAAATCTCATTTTGTTAAAAGAATCGTCTTGTGAAATCAGTACCGTGATTCGCATCACATCGTGAGTTAAGTGAATCGTTACATCCCTGGTTACAACAAAACCTTTAAGAACAGAGAGAGTCTCAGAGACGAAACCTTTCTGAACAGCAACATTCAGTCTCACATTGACTGTAATATGTGGTATAACATAGTCGTACCGTCCAGAGGAGGTTCTGGTAGCGGATGAGCAGCCTGACGATGTTAGCCGTGCCAGTGGCCATAGCGAACTCCTGCTGTTCACTGATCTTACTGCGGAAGCCCTTGCACATGAAGATGTTGGGCGCCATCACCACTGCAACGTTGTTCAGCGTCATCTTATTCCTGTCCTTATGGTCGATCACTCTTTGGAAGAACTCCATAAGAGCCTGAGAGACACATATGGAGCTTATAATATGACAAAACTATTGGAATTTGTATTGTATACATTTGAATTATTGACAAGTGGCATTTATCAAAATATTATGTGGCATTTAACATAGTTCTGAAGTAGATTTTTTTAAACTTGAATATTGAACATTTGAAATTTAACACAACTTAATTTTTTTATAGCAGGGTTGTATAGACATGCATTTTCAAACAGCTAATTTTTTGTTCTGAATTCTTTGACTGCAAACATCCAGTTTTTAAAAATACAGCTTCAAGTTTTCAAGATGAAGAGGAAATTCGGAATATTAAATTCAATATTCAATACGCAGAAATTCAGATCGTACAGAAAGTAGGTCAGAGGTAAATCCACAGGGAAGAGTAGATGATCTCCGAAAAGTCAAACGAAGCATTTTGGCCAATTACTATGTTAAATGCCACATAATATTCAGTTTTGATAAATGCCACTTATCAATAATTCAAATGTATACAATACAAATTCAAATAGTTTTGTCATAAGCTCCATAGACACAGAAATGCTGCTCAACTCAAAATAATCCAGCTGGATCTGCTTTAGTCCTCAGTGTGAATGGAGTTGTGTTTTTAATATGCTTAAAGACAAACCATGTGCAAATTCATCAACCAACACCATTGCTGAGTAATATTGACAAAAAAAAATATCCCAATATTTATTGAGATTTTTCAGATAACGATAATTAAACAATATTTTGCTTAGTGTGTTTTTGTGCTGGTGTCTTGGCTGGTTTAGGCCTGACATGGATAGATAAATAAATAAATAAATAAATACGACACTAAAACCACAAGTCCCTGTCTTAATGAGTGACTCAATGAATCATTCATTCAAATGATTCGTTCAAAATTGCTGCTTCATTTAAAAACAAAGCAAGTGATTTATGAATGGCTCACTGAATCATTGACTCAAATGATTTGTTTAAAAAACCAATTAATTTGGGAACGAAACACTACAGTGTTGCACTGAGATGCAGGAATGTTCTGCTTCAGCTCAGTGTGGAACTATTTTCGTCGACCAAACGGAAAAAACAGACAATTGTGTCTAAAATGTAACAGACTTAATATTTACTTATTGTTTGTTGAACTGCTGTTTAAAATCAATATCACATTTGCATTCAGGAAAACGGCACTGGTGCTTGTCTGGTATTGTATTATGTAACTAAGTCGCTTTGGATAAAAGCGTCTGCTAAATGACTAAATGTAAATATCATATCTTATAAATAAACAAAAACCCATACAGGGATACTTTTGGTTTCATAACTAAATAAGAGTCTTTCGAACTGCATTCTAATAGTCTTCATCACACAGTGAATGCTTTTGGACTGTTTGCATGCATGTTTGTTTTTTGCACATTAAGTGACACTCGATATCAGCTCTCATATTGTTGAAATAACAATTACGATATAATTGCAGACAATAAATATCGCACACCCCTATTGCTGCAGTGTACTCAAGACAATCTAAAAAAAATGGATTGAATCCGCCTGTTTTCTACTGACACAAACATGCAACCAATCCTGTCCACCTGCAGGGTGAGGCTTTCCATACCATCAGCACATCGCAGGAATACGGTTTGTGTAACATTCGCAAGACATTATTAGCTGTCTGATAACATAGTCAAGCAAAAGGCTTATGACAGGAATTACAGAAAAATGTCTGATGTTATAGAGCGCGACACATAAAATGCATTACCATTCTGATACATGTAGGCGATGCTGTATAATTCACTCTTCCTCTTCAGAATAAGTTTTATCATATAAATCTGAATGAATCCAATATTGCCACTTGCTATACTGTAGCATTCACTGCTTCACTTAACTGAGTGAGATTGGAGTGGGTCAGTGATTGAGAGGAGGCGGGGACTAATATGCATATTCACGAGTCTGTGTATATGAAATGAGGTTAGGGTGTAGAGTTACATTCAAGACCTTTTAAGGCATAAATAAATTATTTTAATGGGGAAAAAAATTTTAAATGTCACTTTGATTATCAAAGATGAGTTTTAAGGGAAAATTAGTTGACTGAGTCACAAATATCAGATGTCAATGCTGAGTTGAGGAAAAGTGAAGTGAATGTGTGAAGTGTGAATGCGCATTGAAGGTGTGTCGTACCTTGAGAGTGTCTCTGTTGGGTTTGGGCAGCAGGAGCACCAGCAGATTGAGAGCCTGCAGCTTTTTTATGGTTAGGAATCAGGAAATGAAAAAGACTGCCATTAATGAGACGTGCTAATATTTTCCCTTCAACTGTACAAACACAAACACACACAGATACACACACTGCAGACAATCATCTTCCTCACCCACCACCATCTCAGAAGAGACATTAATCACTAAACACTCACCCCAAGTTCTGTCTGACAGTATAAACACACTCAACCCAGCTACATTCAAATCCACTCAACAACCAGACGATCTAGTTTGTGTGTGACATCAAGGACTGTAACAACCATAGACACTGAAGAGTACATGTTTCCCTTAGTTTTCTTTTAAGTAGAGTCAGAAATATCATAATTACAGGTTACATGCATGACCAAAGCAAAACCATATATTTACCAGTGGGAATTCTCAATGATACTTGAGTTGAGTTGTGATGTTCAAGGGGTGTCTGCAAGATGGCAGAGAGTAGATGGTAGTGTTTTTGCTAAGATATTTCAATTACATTACTACTATTATTGCTCATTACATTCTACTAATGCTAGTGACTTATTCTTTGTGCAAAGTAATTAATTATTTGTAACTCAAAACTTGTTTTTGTTTTGTTTCCACAGCAATTTTCATTAGGTTTTCGTTCATTTAAAATAAAGCTAAAATAAAATGGAGAGTTCACCTTCAGTTGCTGGTCCCAAATGACTTCCATCCAGTGCTGCGCGATTAATCGAATGCTATTGTCATGCGCATCTTGTCAGTAAAGCCGGTTCTGTGATTAGTTGTAAATCTCCATCACATGCTTACAGATGGAGCAGCATTTACTACACAGAGCCGTAGTTCACTGACAAGCTATGCAAAAAAATAATAATAATAATTTTGCATAATCATAATTATTTCATATTTAATCACGCGATTATGAAATTGAAGAAATTGTTCGCGATAATGACAGCTGTTTGCGTAGCTTCTCAGTGAACTGCGGCTCTGTGTAGTAAATGCTGCTCCATCTGAAAGCACGTGAAAATACCACATTTAATAACATGTTTTTACTCCGAACTCACTTCATAACATCAGTCGAGTGTTTGAAATAAATCCTTCTGTGAGATGATGTGGCTTCTTACACAGAATAAGGCACGCAACATATTTCATAGTATTCTAAGCAGTGATAAAGGCATTGCATTATTATATACTTTATTATAATGAAAATTATCATAATAATTATAATAAGAACTCACATAAATCATATACTGTCGTAGTCCTAGTGATGGGCGCTTTCGAAGCACTGCTTCACGAAACTTTTGCGAATCATTTCGAAACAGTGGTTCAGAGCGCGTATCAAACTGCCAAAGTCACGTGATTTCAGTAAACGAGGCTTCGTTACGTCATAACTGTTTTGAAATTTAAATGGTTTGCAGTTGGGTGGCAATGATCTCTGTGACCCCGTGAATCAAGCGAGTTCGTTGAGATCGCCCCCCAGCAGAGAACCATTGAACCAGTGTCTATGGTTTTTACCTGATCGGATCATTTCATCAATTTGTAGACATTTTTAACGATACATTTGTGTAATTAAAAGGATGAGTTGTTGTTGACTCTTACTGGCCTCTATATACAAGCTCTCCATAGAACAAACAAAACAAGCCCTGCAAATTAATATAAAATATTTTAAAAACCACATATGTGTCCCCGGAGCACAAAAGCAGTCTTAAGT